CGGGCCTCCGCGGGGAATTCAAGAACTTCCCGCAGCCGGGAAATAAAAGCTTTGGATTTAAAGCGTCGGGGCAGACATTTGTTTGCTACACCCACTTAGCACAGCGTTCCTTCCCCGTCACATCTTCCACTTGCTTTCCCTAAAACCCCTACCACTTGAAACAGGGAGCTGCGGCTGCAACACATACCCCACGTACTCTGCACAGCCTTTTAAGTGATGCCTTTATTCCCGGACCTAGAACCCCGGTCTTTCCAAAACTTCTCTGACGCCGCAAGCCTCATCTACCTACTTCACACACCTGGAAACAGTAATGATAGTATATAAGGTTAAACCTGCCCTTCTTCATTTATACCACAGCTAAGCGCGCTGGTGGGTACGTGGAGAGATATTAAAGATGCCTAAAGTAGACAAGGAATGGTGGGGGGAGGGGACAGCATATTCACTTCAAGCAAAAAGTGTATAGGTGGAAATTAGATTTGGGTAAATTTTCTTTCCTATTGATCTATTATTTCAATAATACCTGTTTTTTTTTTTTGTTTGTTTGTTTGTTTTTTTTGCCTTTGATTGTTCCTGAATTAGAGCCGCCAGCACCCACCTACGGAACATAAGCAGGTCTTGGTTCCAACCAACCTTCTTTTGGTCTGGGATTCTATCCCCACCAGGTCTGCAGCCTCCCATATTCCCCTGGTCAATATCTCAGAAACAAACAAATGTTTTTTAAAAATTAGTAACTAGAACAAAACTGGCAAGGATGATTTTTTTTAAATAGGAAAACAAAATCACCGTCACAGAAATCTTTACATGTGTTAGCTATAGTTGTCTCTGTAGACAAATACAAACGTCCCCAGGACTCTCATCTCAATCGTCTCCCAACTTCATTTAGCCTCATCCACCTCTCCGTACAGAACAGCAACTGTCAGTGGAAGAAAGGATGGACTTGATCATCTCCAAAATCCCTTTAAAGTGTGAGATTAGGAATTGCTATGCCTGACTGGTTGTCAAAGGTCTAGTCTGGAGCAATAGTCACCAAACATTTTTCATCACCCACCTATCAGTAAAAATGTTTGGCCTCTCCCACCTCCCAGTATACGTATTTAGCTTATCCTAAAAGGCATGGACTTAGAAGCCAAAATGACTACTCAAATTTTTGCTTTGCTGCCAGCTACCTGTGCCCTTGGCCACATCCAAATTTTGCCTTAGTTTCATTTGTAAAATGAGGATAATTAAAGTATCTACCCCACAGTGTCATTATGAAGATTAAATGAGTTAATATTTGTAAAGCATAGTGCCTGGTAGATGGTAAGGGCTATATACGTGTTAAATAAATACATATATAATTAATTATGTATAAAATAATATATGTAACATATGCGTGCATATATGTATATACACACATGTCTATTATAATGTTGATGTAAAACAAATAGATTGCCAGTTATTTCTCTGGTAAAAATAATTGCAGTTCAGGGTATGCTACCATGGCAAGGCACCTGCAAGTCTCCCCCCACACACACACCCCCAGTAAGGAGAGAACTCTTTTAATGAAGGGAAAAGGAACTTCGGAGGGCTAGAGTAAACAAAGAGTCCATTGGAGGAATTGAGAGTTCCAAGTACAGGGGCTTTTCATTGGTAGAGTTGTGACAACCTCTCATTGGCTGAGCTCTTGCCAGGCAAGAAGAGGAAATCTTTCTTCCTTTTGGTCTCTGCTACTGTCATAGGGCTTAAGAGCTCCCTCTTCTGGTCTCCTGACTCTATATTAATTGAGGTTTCTGTTTATTAATTTTTATGATATGCCTAATATGTTAGGTACATTAAAAACATATTCACAAAATATCAGAAATAATGATTTAAAACATACATGTGTACGTGTGTGTCTGTATGTTTTCTTTCTGTACTCTGCATATTCTGTACCCTCCTTGGTCTGTGTGCACCCCAACTTACAGCCTATTGGCAAACACAGTATTGACAAATACAGTAGCCATTAGCCACATGTAGTTACATAAATTAAAATTTTACTTCCTCAGTCATACCAACCACATTTCAAGTTCTTAAAGGTCACATGACTAATGAACAGTTCAGATATAAAATATTTCCATCACTGCAGAAAGTTCTACTGCGTAACACTGACAAAGCTGAAAAAAACAAGGGACTCAGGCAGTAGGATCAACTCCTGACTCAAACCTGTAACTGTGGTACCATGTTCAAATCAAGTGATGATAAGATCTCTCTCTGAGCCTCACCTCTCTACAAAGTGAAAATAAAAATAGGAACTACCTCATGGATTGCTGAAGAGGAAATGAGATAAGGTGTGTAAAGTCTTTGGCAGACTGCCTAAAACATAGAGGAACTTGAAAATGTTAGTAAAATTTGAGTTTAACCCAATTCTATCCATATAAGCCTGAAAGGCAAAGGTCTTGTTATTGTCCTTGACTCTAGTGAGTAAGTTTTTCAAGGATATGTATTTTGGAAAAGACAAGAGTTTGGTTAACTTTTAGTTGAAAACAGAGCATTCAGAGAAAGATGGCAAATACCTGGATTTCAGTTACTGCTTGATTTCTTTGTCCTCCTCACCCACAACCCACGGACAGACCCTGGTCTTCTCCCAGTCGCGCCCATCTCAGCGAAATGGCCCTGCCATCCACAAACCCGATGAGTCATCACTACCTCATCCTCTTTCCCATCTTCTTTATCCAATCCCTTTGCCTCCAAAATATTGTAGGATCTACCTCCAGAACACTTCATCTGATCTCTTCACTTCTTGTGTCCGCTCCACACAGGGGCAATAAAGGCTTGTGTCACTCCCCACTGAGGCTGCTATATACAGTGGTACAGGTTGTAGTAGAACAACCTTACGGAAGAGTGCCTCTCACAGTGAAGCATTGTAAACTTTACATTTATCACAGATATTCTTTGGCAGGTGTCAATGAAGTGCCTTGTTGTAATAAAAGTATTTTACAACAATTTTCCAACAAGATGGAAATGCCTTGAGGAGTGGATACCTTTTTCTAATTTGCCCAAAGGTGCCATATGGGGTAGTAACATTTCTACTTCACTTAGAACAAAATGGCAGCTCATCACCAGGTGCTTTAAGGCCTAGCAGAACCCAGCTTCTGTCATCCTCTCCACCTTAAGATGACGCCACACTCCACCAAATTCCAGTGATGTTGACCTGTCATTTTGAAAATATATCATGTTCTTTTCCACTGTTGGAGGCCCACTGCCCAGGCTACTTGTCTATCTAGACAGCCCCAAGGCCAGCCCGCCCTGCCCTTCGCATAGCTGTGGCTCCTCGATATCTGTCAGGCCTCTGTGCCCTGAGAGAGTGCCCGTTATTCTCCGTCACAGCCCTGTGTGTTTCCCTCTCAGGACTCAGAGGTCTGTCTGGACACTGTAAACTCCATGAAGGCAGGGAGCTCATTGTCTTGTTCTCCTTTCTATCCCCAGATCCTAACAGGACAGGAGGTTGTCCCAGCTTGTCAGTGGTCAGTCAGCTCAGCATTATTGCCACCCCTTTCTATATTCGCCTCTGCAGATGGGGAGGAAGCCTAGAACTCTATTTTCCAGAGAACTTTTCCCTGAATGGTCCCAGGTTAAATTCTGCCAATGGAAACACATATGTGAGATCTGAAAGGCAGAAAAGGAGAAATCATTTCTCTCCAGTACACCTTCAGGCAGCTCAGACGACAGGGAGCTGTTTTCCTAGACTTCTGAGAAAATATCAGACAAACCTGAAAAAAATGACATTCTATTTTTAAAAGGGTGTGGGGGGGGGGGCTGAATTCTGAAAAAGGGCAGTGGAAACGTTCCAGATTAAAAGAGGCAAACGAGACATAACAACTAAATGCAATACAGCCCGCCCTCTAGATCCGCAGATGCAGAATCTGAGGATAGAGGGGGTCTGACAGTACTATGCCATTTTATACAAGGGACTTGAGCACCTGCGGATTTTGGTATCCGTGGGCAGAAAGGTGGGGGAGGAGGACATGGGGGAGGGAAGGCTTTCTGAAACCAATCCCCCCTGCGGATACGGAGGGATGACTGTAACTGACCCTATACTGGGTCCTGTACTAAAAGGGAAAAGTGCTGCAAAGGATATTACTGGGTCAATTGACAGAATTGGAATGTGAACAGAAAATTAGATGAAAGTGTTGTATCAAAGTTAAATTTATTGTTCTGGTTATATAAGAGAATATCCCTATTTCTAGAATATACACACTGAAGTACTTAGGGGTAAAGGACCATGATGTATATAATTTATCCTCAAATGATTCAGAAACATTTTTAATATCTAACCTATAATGTAAATATTAAATATGAAAGAGAGAAACCACCTATATAAATGATAAAGCAAACGGGGTGAAACGTTAGTAGGCGAATTTGTATAAAGAGTATATGAATATATAGGTACTATTTCTATTCTTGCAAAATGTAAGTTTGAAGTTATTTCTCCCCTCAAAAAAAGTTAAAAAATATATATATAATGAAGCATTAAATAAACTATAGTGAATAATGCAAGACAAACTAGGATAGTTGTCTTAAATATCCAGCCTCAAAATAGGCCCAGCCTGATAGCTACAATTAAAAAACAATACATTTGCTGTTTTTTTCTAATTCTTCTGTGAACAAAAAGTGAATTTACTCTTCTTGCAAAAGACAAATGCTCCCTGGCTATGGGAAAATAACCTATCATACACAGGGTGTCATTCTAAACATTTAAATATGGGACATTTGTGGCTTTGCTGGCCACTGTGTCCTACGAACTAGATTGGGACAATATATTTCCTGCAGATACTGGATGAAATGGGAACAGATATTATATTCCTTATAAAAATTCATCATGTAAAGAGAATAATCCAAATTATAACCACATCCCCAAATTGCAGCATTGCACACTTTTCACTTTGAAGAAGGAAGTCCCCAGTACCCATGGAAATACAATTCTATGTTGTTTTAACAGAGAACCTTATAGTCAGCTTCTAGATCATTTAGAAAAGTTGCCAGTGCTTGCTTGGGCAACACATATACTAAAATTAGAAAGATACAGAGAGGATTAGTATGGCCCCTGCACAAGGATGACATGCAAATTCATGAAGTGTTCCATATTTTAAAAAAAAGAAAGAGAAGATGGTGTACTAGGAGGATGCAGAATTCATGTCTCCTCACAACTAGGGCACCTACCAGGCACCGGTGGGGGACCACAGACACCTAAGGAGACGGGAGGAACCCCCAGCAACTGGGACGTGGGGCTTGGGGGGGAGTGAAGGGGGAGGAGAAGTGGAGGCGGGACTGGACTGGTGCCCCTGAGGCGCGGCTGGGGGAGGGGAAGGGATCCCACGCCAGAAGGGGGAAATTGGGGAACCATTGGGAGGGCAGATGATCAAAAGGGAGTGTGGCCAGGTTTCCCCCGCCTACTTGGACCACCAGGAACCTGCTGAGATCCTCTGCCCACTGAGGAGGTCCAGCTGTTTGGGTCCTGAGGGAGTGGGAGGGAGGGAAGGGGGAGCAAAAGTAAAGGTCGGACCTCCTGGACTGGCACCCCTGAGGGGTGGCTGGGGGAGGGGAGGACTTACTATAGCCAGCGGGACCCACCCATGGTTAGGGGTCCAGCAGCGACCAGGGAGACCCTAGGGGAGTCAGTGGAGGGGGGGGTGTGTGGCGTGAAGGAACCGAAGGGAACGGGCCAGATGCCTTCCCTGTCCACTTAGACACCCGGGAGCCTGTTGGGCTCCCAGGACTAATCCTCTGCCCTCAAA